ATCCCTAGAGAACCCTGTGCTATATATACTTGAATAAAAATCCTAGCTCCCAAGAGGGTAGACGTTAAAAAAAAAAAAATAAATAAAAAAAATAAAATAAAATAAATTAATACTATTTAACTAATCAAATTTATAAATAAACCAGATTTATAAAATAAATCACAAAAATAAAAGAAATAAAAAAAATAAATAAACAAACATAGCACATATTTAAAATAGATACATAATATATCAAGAAAGTAAACAATTTTAATTGATAATTTGTTCAAATTTGATTATAAGTTTGTTTGAATTTGATTGTTTATTTGTCTGAATATGGTTGTTAACTTGTCCAAATTTGATTTTTTATTTGTACAAATTTGATTGTTAACATGTTCGAATATGATTGTTAAATTGTTTAAATTTGATTGTTAACTTGTTTGAATTTGATTGTTCATTTGTACGAACTTGGTATGCGAAGCCTGGAATATAATATATGATAAAAAAATTTTAATACAATTATGTATTACGTAGTGCGCAATACGGTAACTTTGTTAATGTTGTATGTAAAATTCGAATGGGCGTGAATTTGAAATTGAGTTGCGTCATATCAAAATTTGATTTTGAAATACATCGAATCAAATTATCTTATGCGTCAAATTAAAATCAATAATTTAAAAGTTATAATATAGTGAAAAATCAATTTACTAACCTATAATTCTATACGATATTATTGTACATAATAGCTCTACTTCACCTGTACAATATTTAAATATTTGATTATAGTTCAACTTATCTAAAATCTTGCGTAGGCATATAGGTCCATTTGTACCAAATTAATCAACTTCAGAAATATACTATACTGATTTCATATTCTAATTTGTATTGTACAGATCTTTACAATTCCTCATAATACTTAGTATCTGTTATTTCTGTTATTTTTTGATAATTAATCTTATAGTGGTTGTGAGGTATATAAAAAATATTGTAAAGAATTAATCTAAATAAATATAAAGAATTAAATCTACATAACAATAAATTATATTATAACGAAATTACTAAAATAACTATCAAAATTTTGCATAATATGCCGTAGCATTTAGTTCAATACAAAATACATGAATGGTATATAAAGAAAGTCAAGAAATTTTAAGCGAACCAATTTTTATTTTATTATTATGATATTTATTATGTATATTTCAGTATAACGTATAATGATAAAACCAGTCTGACACACATCAGAGTTAAAATTTAATTTTATACAACTCAATTTTAAACCTATGCCTATTCTAATCTGAGGTATGACATTAATACCATGAAAAAAATAAGTTCTTAATGCTATTTTCAAATTTATTACTAAGCATTAATCATTTAAACAATAATTATCTATTGTTAAATGAGTGCGTAAGAGTGAAAACCTGGAAACCGATTATAGTAAATCATTAAATCAGTTTTTAGGTTTTCACTCTCACGCACTCAAATAATATGAACCAAACTGTTTTAGAAGGATAATAAACTAAGGATTAAATAGTATAGATGATATCTACTTTAAATCAATTGATTATTTATCAAGATGCCACCTATACTATATTTTATCCCAAACAAATATTGCATATTTAGATTACAGCTGTTTTCATAATTCCTAGGACATCTGTAAAAAATTAGCCAAATGATTTTTGGCCAATTCAGTTAATTTATTATTTCAGCAATAAAAATTACCAATTTTTATTGAATCTATTATCATTATTATTATGCCGAAATAATAGTTAACCGGATCAGCCGAAAATCATTCAGCTAATTTTTTACAGGTGTTCCAAGAATTATGAAAACAGCTATAAAATTTATTGAACAGAACTAATCAGGTTAATAGCTAGATTAACATAATAAAAACTAAACTAACATGTATAAAGATAAAATATTTGAAAGTATTAACTTAAATATTTCAGAATCACGAAATCTATATAGTGCAAGAAATTTAAAAACCTCAATCTCCCTATATAGAAATAAATTTCTTAAATTATCAATCTATATAAATTTCTTAAATTATCAATCTAAACTCCTATTTGCCACTGCTTACAGTATCTCTCAAAAATAGTATCCTACCATATAAAGTACCCTCCTTCACCAATGAGATCACTGGATTCGTGAATAGTACCTGGTATTATTCAATTTTAAAAATGATGTTCTTGAATAAGATTCTGGTACTATAAGCAGTAGCCAACAGTAAATTTCTTAAATTATCGATCTAAATAAATGGTCTAAAATTTTTTTGCATAGCTAAAGAATAATAATATATACTTAAGAGTAACTATTATCTGCATACTGAAATAAACTGCTATTAAGAATGTTATATTCAGATCACATCCCCATGAGTTAATTGACCTTTATTCTATTTAAAGTGATTGTGGTTTTAAATTTTCCGCACCATACATACCTTTTTCATAGTCTGCAATCATTTATATTTTTCTATTTTGTTAAATAATTTGTTTTTTTCCGACAGCTACGTAATAAATTTTTTTTTATATATTTATGAATTTTTTTGATTATTTTGAACTGCAAAATGGGTTTCATAATTCGACAAGATGAACAACTATACGTAAAATACTTATTTCTATTTTAGCAAATTACAGTAAAATCAAAAAAATTAAAATTTTTATCGAATTTTGATTAAGTAGTTTTTAAATATCTTAAAAGTATCTTGAAAGTTTTGAAAAGATATCTTGATAATCTCCTAATCTAGTTTAATGAAAATTTTTCATCAACTTTGATTAGGCAGTTGTAAATATTTCGTACAAAAGTTTTTTGAAAAATTTTAAACTAAAGAGTGATAGAAATAATAATCAGGGTATGAATGTCATATTTGTTTGCTTTGCAACACTATTGAATTTAAATCTGATGAGTCCATTTGTTGTAATCAGTGTCTGAAATTTAATTTCTAATTTAGTTGCAGATTATATGGATTTAGTTGCACATATGAATGTATTTATATGCAAATTCGAATATTTCTATATACAAATTCACAATTTATTTGTGAAACCTGCATATATATTTCAGATTTTAGTTGCGAAAACTTATAAATCATTTGCAGTTCGCAAGCTCCGCAACCTAATTTCAGACACTGGTTGTAATTAGTAATGTAGTAAAATTGTTCTAATGATGCTCAATGATAGTTGTCACATGGCTATAACTTGCCGTAACTATAGTAAGTAATATAATAAAGTTATAGCTATAATGCCATAACTTTATTATATTACTTACTATAGTTACAGCTATGTGACAACTATCAATGGGCATCATTAAGACGATTATTCTGTATCACTAGTTGTAATAAATAGTCCTTTAAGACTTATTTAAGCATTAAAATTGTATAAAAATATTCAACTACATTATATATACTTTGTATATATTTTTATATGCTTTGTATATTTTTTATATATTATATTTTGTGTAAAATGCAAATTAATAAATAGCACAAAGGAATTAAACCATCTTTAATTCGTACTAATCATTCATTAACAAAAATCCACGAGTTTGATCTATATAGCTTAACTTTTATGATACAATGACAAGTGTAGTCACCAAAACAATTTCAAATAAGAAAACAAAGATAAAATTTTAAATTTTTGCCAGACTAAAAAAAAAAATCAAAAAATTACAATTTCAAACTATTTTCATTGAAAACAACTAGGATTCTTTACCCTTCTCATCAAAGGATGATTTAAATAATGAAATATAAATAGAGATCCGTAAAAATTCTATTAAACGTACAAAATTCATACAAAGTAATATACATATATCTATGTCTAAAAAATATCCCGTATATGTAGAATTTTACAGCATTTATTATTCAATACCAATTATTCAGCAAAAAGGACATGATAAATATATAAATGAAGAAGTTAAAAAAAACCCACGACAAATGATTTTTCAAAATATTCATAGTTTGCTAGGCCTAGTATGTATTATTGCAACTTAAGAGCGTACTGTCCACCCAAGAGTTGAACAATCACATGATATATGTATTATAGGGGAAATGTTAGCAATCATAGGCCTATCAGGATGCGAGAAAACTATATTTTTGAACGTGCTCGAAGATCGCACATCTAAAAAAAATGTAGAAGGAACAGTTAAATTGAATAGACATATTCCAACTAAAGTCTCTAGACATTTTGTAGCCTATTGTACTCAAGATGATATCTTTTTTCCATACTTGATAGTTAGAGAGACCCTTTCTTATACTATATATTTTGACCTTGCTACATATTGATTATAGGTGCTAATCTATAGTATCACTTAGTTACGTCCTATATAAAAAATTATACCAAGTCTGTTAATAAAATAGAACAATATGCAGTTGAGCCGTAACTAGTGACGTAACAAGTCTGCCTCTATAGTATTGATCAACTTATTTTGATGCAAACTTATTAAAATCATTTTTTTTTATTATAGTCCCAATTACGCCTTCCGCATGAATTACCCACTAGTGCAAAGTTGGAGCAAGTAGAAAATATAATTCAAGCATTAAATCTTTCAAAATATTCAAATACAAAAATTGGTGATACAAGAATTCATGAAATCTCAGGCGGTGAGAGAAAACAAGTTAGTATTGCAAATGAACTGTTAACCGATCCTAGTGTCATTTTGTTGGATAAGCCTACTTCTGGCTTAGATATGTGTTAAACATAAATATATATAATCGATATTCTGCATATTACACTTAGTCATGTGATATTAAAATAATTACTGTTTCAAAGATTCATCATTAGTATTAGATCTTGTACAAACCCTAAAAGAATTTGCAATAAAGCAAAAAAAAACGATCATAATGGTTATTCATCAACCTGCATCACAAGTTTTTGATCTATTTGATAAGCTATTACTAATAGCAGATGGACAAGTAGCTTATTTTGGAGATAGTAAGAATATAGTCGATTATCTTGCTGATGAAGGATTTGTTTGTCACCCTAATTTCAATTTGACCAACTATATATATATGTATTTTTTTATTATATTCCACTGCTCTCAATGTTTGCCTGTGAATATTTTTGATAGCATTTTCACAATGATTTTTATGGGAACATTGAATTTTATGAGAATAGTGATAAAAAACTATAAAATATATCAGAAGGACCTTGAACAATACTAATGGAGGTCATATTTGAAAAATAGCCAATTTGATTGACTAAAAATTTTTTTTATCCAATCAAATTGCAGAAAAACTGCTAATAACTTAAATATAACTTCTGTCAAAAGCAAATAAAAGGCAAATATGTATAATAGTATAAAAACTAACCATAATGGCAATTTTTTAAATTTAGTAGAACTCCTAAGTGACCCAATGATAAAACAAAAGTTGATAACTGCACATGCTTGAAAATTACAATCAGATCCATCTGGTAAATTAGTAGTGAAGAATATTTACAAAGACCCACAACTTCTGATGACTCAATGATAATAGAAACTTTAAAACGTAAATAGGAGATGACATTTCTTCAATAATTAATGATCTTTACAGAAAGAAGTTTTAAACAACATAGTAAAAAAATATTATCAAAACTGAATATAATACAAATATTTGGTTTAACAGTAATTACTTGCTTTGCTTGGTTTTAAGTACCTTATACTGAAGATAGTTTATCAGATCGATATGGTTTGGTAAATTAGAGGGAATATCTCCAGTAGCATCTCTATCATGATGGTATTGGTATTTGGGCAATGTATGAGCATAATAATCTGCATATAATACTTGGATTATATCCAAATCTATTCAAAAATAGCCCAAGTGCCAACACGTAATCACGTGAACCAGAATCTGATCGTCAAACAAGTCTTTAAATAAACAGTTTAAGGACTTGGTCTTTTGGAATCATTTCCAATTCATAACTAATGATATATATATTTTAATACATATCATTTTATAATGACAAAAAAATTTTATAGACCTTTTTCACGTAAGTTACATTCTTTATTATTCAAAATTATTATTATTATTACTATAATCACCCAAGAAAAAACGAGTAAACATTATTTTTAACAAAATAATAGAACTTCAATTTGGATATTTTTTATGTCAATAGTCATGATAACCACATTTCTATTAAACTTTAATATTCTTAGTAAAGAATATTAATCACGTTCTTATCGATTTCTTATATATTTCCTTTCGAAACAAATTGCTAAATTGCTACTTATCATCATTTTTCTATTGGCTTCTCTTTTGATTGTTTATTGGGCTACTGGAATAATACCTGGTACTAGTAATTTCTTTGCATGCCTGATACGTAAGCTTATCATCAATACTAAATAAAGATGAAAAAAAATTACTATATATACAGTATATATATATATAGTAATAAATTAAAATAAATACGTATGTAGGCTACCTCAGTATTGACGACTTTAGCAGTACAAAGTTTTGGATACCTTGCGGGAGCTATTTTTATGGATATTTAAAATACAACAAGTGCATATCATTTCATATTGATATTCAAAATTTAATTTAATAATGAGATATATACTAATGAATTTATTTTACGTAAATGAATTAGTGGTAATCACACTTTTCATGTTATCATCCATATTATTAGATAGATTTTATATACGCCATTTGCCATTTGGGTTGATATGGTTAAAATATTTGGTATATATATATATACATATATGTATTGCATTTATTTTACATATATGTATTATCATTATATATTTAATATCTCAATATTTTAAATTCTAATCTTTAACACATTATTTTTTTTAAATAATAGTCATTTATTTACTATGCTTATTCCATCATGATGTATGTGCAATTCACTTCACCATATTCAAACTTTCAATGTTCAAACTCAAGGCAGGTTAGTGAATATTCAGAATGTTTATGTTCTTCAGATAGTTATATAAGGGAAGTTTCTGTATTAGAACATTTAGATCTAGATGAATTGCTTTGGTATGTTCATTTAGTAATATTAATTGGAGTTTTAATTATAGTCAGAGTTTTAGCATACTTTAGTTTAAAAAAGAATAGTAGAATTATAAAATAATTTAATTATATAATTTTATACTATATATAATACATATAAATAGTGTTGGTAGTGATGGACAATAAAAATAATTTAAAGATTTTTGTTTTTGTCATATACTGTATAAAAATTTTTTAATAAAAAAATTAGTTATAATTATTTTTAATATCTATTGCATATTAATAAAATAGATTATTGTCTTTGTTATATACTGTATAAAAATTTTTTAATAAAAAATTTTTTTTATAATTATTTTTAATATTTATATTAATAGAAATAGATTACTGTCTGTCATATGTTATATAAAAATTTTTTAATAAAAAATTTTTTATAATTCTTGTTTTTTGATTTTTAATACAGTCAACCCAGGGTTGTGAGTGGTAAATTACCATCGGTAAATTACAGTAATTTATCAGATAATTTATCGAAAGTGTGGTAAATTTACCTTGTATACATAGATCTATCTGTAAATTATATAATTTGATTGGCTAAAAAAATTTTTAGCCATCAAATCACATGATTTATATTGTACAAACTTTGTTATTCAAAATAACTTAAGGTAAATTTATGGGTAATTTACCGAATAGCTCAGGTAATTTACCAAAAAAATTTGAAAATTACGGTAATTTAACAACTCTGAGTCAATCCTTTCTAAATGTAATTCATACAGATCATATAGAAATTTTAAAAAATCTTACATTTAGAGAGGTATTGCATTTAAGAAGATAAAAATCTATAAGTATATGTGTAATAGAGACACAGCAAGACCATGTATTTATAGAGGTCTTTTATAGAATATATATTTAGAAGGTTGTATTTATAAAGATCTGACTGTATCTATATTAATAAAAATAGATTACTATTTTTTTAAAACTAAATATTGTGTATATTGGCTTAAAATTATGTAGTAGCTAAAGTTTTGTTTTTAAAAAGATTTTTTAAATACTTTAAATAATGTATAATCAAACCTCTCTAAATACATTGCAGCAGAACTATATATAAAAATTGAGCCAAGTAATAAAGTAATCACATAGATGCAGAGAGTTTAAATAGATAATCCTCTAGTCAGGTTATAGGTATGACATCTAGTATAGAATTTAGTAATAAGTAGACTACTTAAATAGACAACCAAAAGTTGTACGTAGCTAGTTATACTCTCCAAATATATATATAGTATAAAAATCATATTGTAAAAATTATAACTATAATCGAATAAAAGAAACATAACAAAGAGGTCACCTTAATATCAAAAAAAAAAAATTGAGCCAAGTATGTATTTAGAAAGATATACTTAAAAAGTTAATAATCTATAAGTGTTATATTAGCTAAGACCAAGAAAGACATACATTTAGAAATATTTAGAGAAGTTACACTTAGAGGGATCTAACTATATAATATATTTAAAATATATTTAAAGTACAGTTAAATCTCTATATAGTCACATCTTCAGAATATAAAAAGCGGTAATTATATAGAGATATGACTAATATAAAGAGAATTCTATATTATCACAATTATAATAAAATTATATATATATATATAATTGTAATTATATAAAAGCTTTTAAAGAATACAAAAATTTGTTAGAATTTTATATGATACTACATATTGATTTAATTTTCATAATGTATCAAACACCCCAATGTAAAATCTAATTCAACCGTGTATACTTGAGTTTTTAAATTAATTTCAGTTCTGTTTACATATGTGAAGTTCTTCTGTAGTACCAATATGATGAACTTTAAAGGTTTTAATGAACCAATGTTTAAATATTAGGTTATACAAATATCAATATATTAAGGGTATTCTCAAACACCTTAATCAATGAGTCAAAAAGAGTTGGGAAATAAAATTTATTTAGCAAGAAAATATTTTAAATTAGTCAAACATATTTATCATTATGAATATACATTATTTGATAAAGCTTCTTATATAAATATAATATTTTTATTAATAAAAAATATTGAAATGAATATATTATTTAAATTAACAAACTTTTTACAACAAACCACCTTTTTTTTATACCTGTCTTGAAAATTCTACAATCAATTAAGTTTTCAAAGAGACTGTATAAGTAATATCACTATAGATCAGATCATCATATTTAGCAACAAATTATCATTTTACTTTTTGCACTAAATGTTTTTATGATCAATAATTGGTAAAGTCAATAAACAGAGTAACAAGAACTGCTGAAGTTGATGCTTTACCAGAATATTTTTAATAATCTGCAGCATTTGCTTCTTGTTTAATGGTGTTTTTGATTTTTTTTTTATTTTCACTTTTTATTTTTATTTTTAATAAATAATAAAAGAACTGCTCAAATATTGACTGCAATGTTTATTTCAATTGATTCTAATAAATAAGTACTATTACGATCAATAATTAATCATATCGAAGATGATGCTTGAGAAAATTTTAATTACATTGTAAATTGCATATTCAAATTTTCAATAAAAATTTGATATAAATATAATTTTGCTTGAGTACCATTACAATCACTTGCTAATCACATCAAGAATAACACTTGAGAGCACTCTAAGATATTTATTATATTCATAAAGCTTTGTTTGTTTTTTTTAATTCATATATGTTTAATATTCAGTCAAAAGCCTCATAAGTCAGAATAATTTTGCAGATCTATTAAAGAAATATATGATGATAAAAGAATTAAAAATCATTTTTTATTTACAATAATATCTTAATACTAAACTGGCTATGCTGCTAATCTAAATACAATAAAATGTATTAACAGAGTTCTCAAACATCTCAATTGATAGATCAGAAGCAAATTTTTAATCAAATAAACTGACTAAAAATTGGTTAGTTTATTCAATTACTAACTAATTAAAAATTTGTCTCTGATCTATTGATTACAATTAAGATAGACAAAGTTAGTTATATATTATTATTTAATAATACTACCTTGCAATAGATATTATTAGTGTTGTTCAGATAGTTGTTTAGGTTAAATCATATCTGATCAGAACAAAACTCAGGTTTATAATGACTAATTAAATTTTTACCAAAATTTATCATAAAAACATACTTTATTTTTTAATTTAATATAGTTGAACCTTTATATAGTCACCCTTTATATAATTACAAAACTATTATAATCATATCTGTCAATTTACTGATTTTTTAAATATATATTTTACTTCTATATAATCACAATTAAATTATAATTACTATCACATATTTTTAAAGTTATACTTTAAATTAACTAATAAGAATTCACAATATATGACTAATCAAATAGATGGGTATCAGATATACAATAGTGCAGAAGATCACTGTTCGATTCTTCTTGGAGTCCTAGAGCATGATTTTCATGTATAACATATATACAAATATATGAATGTTAATTTTAAAGGCAGTATTATTTATCACCTGATTTTTTTTTATCAGAGGCTTACCCTCTCTCCCCCTCTTAATATAAAAAAAATCAGGTTCTTATATATAATTTTAACTTTTTTACCTCTTTCCCCCTAAAAAATTACCTGATTTTTGTTACATTCCTAACTAATCTACTTACTTTTTGTCATCTATATAGGAGATAAGTTCTTTATATATGATTTTTTTTTTTACAATAAATAATAATACAAATCAATGCTCTATCAAACGTTAATTCTAACTAATCTACTTACTTTTTTGTCACCTATATAATTTGTAAGTTCTTT